ATATACTTTTCAGTAATCACTGCCTTAGCAGACTGTCCTGCTTAATGTTTGCTGGTGATCATCCAAATAGAGGAAAGAGCAAGAGCAGTCAATGGGACAGAATGAACACAGGCCGTGAGGTGTTCACCCACCAGGAAGGCAGGATCTGTGTATGAAAACGACCATCAGTTCCCAATACTCTCAACATAACTTGAAGCAATTTACCATCTCAACCCCCAGGACATGTTCCTGTCTCTTAAGAAGGGTTAAGAGTGTGAGAACCACATAATTAAAAACCAATGACATCCAAAAAGAAAAGCAAAAAGATCTGAATCTGAACTCCTCCATATCATCATGTATTCAATTCTTAAGAACCTACCATGTGTTAGGCACATAAGTCTGAAAGCTGTTTTCAACTAAAGTAAGCAATTCTGACGATTTACTATATTAAAGACACCAAGCTTACTATTTCTCATCAAACTGGCCCAGCGCCCTACAATGAGAGAACTGGAAGGTATCTTAAGGTCCATTAAGTCTAAGTCCCTCATTTTACAGATGAGGAAACAAGACACAGGGAGAACAGGCATATTTCAAGGTCACACAGCTAATCAGAAGGAGATCCACGACTAGCACCCAGATCTTCACGCGATTATTTCGTCCAAGATGCTATGGAAAGGGCACGAAGGGCTAACCCACGAGAAGAATTTTCCTCTTTTCCCCCTTTTCTTTTAAGCCCTCGTTGCTAGGACCGCAGTTTAAAAAAACAAAATTGAATAGGCGGAGGAGAAGAGGTAAGCACAAGCAGGTAACGGGCTCACCGATCCAATTCAACTAGTGCACTAGGTGGCAAGCACAGCGGGAAAGGGGAGAGTGTACAAGGCGAGGGAAAAAAACAGAAATCTTAAAGGCTTCCTGTCAGATCGCATAAGTCAATACTCGAAGTTCAGTATTCGGGGTATCGTGATAAAATGCTTAGAAACTACAGTAAGCAAAAGGCCAAGAGCACTTTGGAATCTGCAGCAGCACGCAAATGTGGTGGTGTGGTAGGGAGTTTGGAGACTAGTGACTTCGAGTAGCTGCTTTCATTCAGTCGAGATTCAGTTTTCCCTGCCGATGAAATGGACACACTCCACAGTGGCCCCCAGCACCATCGAGGAAAAGCGATGGCCGCAATGAAGTGCGGGAATAATCAAATTATGGTAAGAAGCTGTGGTGGCCGGGGTTAAGGACACAGAATGCTTCCGATTAGAAAAGAAACCTTAAAGAGGATAGACCCCGGGTTTGAGGTGTATAGGGAGAGGGCTACAAGCGCCCGTAGGGTTCCCAAGGTGGACCAGACGAGGACTCCCCCTGAGAAGCCGCAGAAGAAAAGGGGGGCGAGGATGGGAAGGTGGGATCGCCGCCTCCCGGGCGTCCCAAGGCCTCGACTGTCCCCAGGAACCGACTCCTCACCTTGTCCAAAAAACCGCTGCGGCTACTGCCTGTCCCGCAGTTGGGGCCACCGCCAGCCCCACCACTACCTCCACCACCGGCTCTCCCGCCCTGAGCAGCCGCCGCCGCCATCTTGTCTGCCTCTGCTTCTCCCTCCCCTCCTACTTGTCAGAAGCCGATTGGCCGGAGCTGACGGCGTGACGCGCCGCGCTTAGTCCACCGGGATCCGTAGTTTGGGGCTGGCTGACGTGAAGGGGCCAGCGGAAGTGGCCGCGGGGCTTGCCGGGACCCGTAGTAATTATAAGCTCCAGCCACCGGCTGCCGCCTATTCGGCCAGCCGCCGCGTCGCGGTTACTAAGGGGTGGAGAAGGTAGTGGCAGGCGTCACCGTGGAGCGGCTCCGAGATCCCCGGGAGGCTCGCAGGCGTGCATCCCGCCTGACCGGGACGTCGCCCTCGCAGACGCCTCGGAGGCGGAAACGACGCCGGAGGCAGGTACGGCTGGGAACAGTTTACCTGAGGGGTTAGAGTCTCCGTGCCTCCATGTGTCGGGTTTCCCAAGGGGAGGCAGGAACTCGACCTTCACTCTTTTCTAGTCCTATTACAGCACTTACTAGTTCTCTCTAGCTTTTAGTGTTGTTTTCGTGTTACAGAGAGCTCACGTTCACTGAGCGTCTGCGGTCGGCCAGATAATGTTCCATGTACATGTACATTCATCTTGTTTAGTCCCCTAACAGCGCAGTCAAATGAGGAGACTAAGGAACTTAACCAAGGCCAGATAGCATGTATCAGAACCTGGTATAGAGGCCAGGGTTTTGTTTTGTTCGGGGTTTTTGTTGTTGTTTTTTTTGTTTGTTTGTTTTTTGGACATCAAACCCGTATTATGCTCCTTTTGTTACAGGTGGGATCCTTGGACTCTTTAATCAATAGAAATTGGTAAGAGGCCAGAGGAGGAATTCAGGCAAGGCTTTATTGGGACTCTTGCTGCAGCAGAAAGGGGTGAGAACAAGAAACAGGTGCTGGGGGAGGAGGGGCTCGAGGTGGTTCCTGAAATGGGGAGAGGATAGGGGCTGATGGGTGGGTCTGGTCAAAGTGGGTAGTTTAGGTGGTCTGCCCACCCCCTTTGGTGGTGCTGTGCGCAGGGATCGTGCACAGTACCCTCCTTTTGCTCCTGGTACCCCAGAAGTGGCAGTTGACTTTTGGCCTTTTTGTATCCTGGTCATAATTTGTCCCAGCTGTGGTGCATGCAGTTAATTTTAGTCTCCTGTAGTTTCTTCGTATTTCGTTGATCAGGGAAACTTTTATCCAGGTGCAAGCACTCAGGTAAAGGGTCCTAGGTCCCAGCCCACCTCACCTTTGCCACTTCACGTTTACAGTTTTAGGATGTAATAGTATTATAGATTTTTATTAATTCCTTTTTTTTACACAAATATTTATTGAGCACCAACATTGCTTGAAACTATACTGAGGGATACTCATGATCAAGAGAGACCTGTTCCCTGCTTTCATGGAACTTCTCTAATGACCTACAGTTATCACATAACAGGACTGTATTACTATGGTCTCCCACACTGCATCATTTTTTTTAATCTCCATGAATTCCTCTTAAGTGTCCAAATGATTGAACAAATACCTATTGAGTACTTACTATGTAGTGGTGACTGTTCTGGTCTCTGGGATATATATTTGAAGCTAACACTCATGTGATAATAATTATTACTAAATAATATTAGGTGTGGTTTCTTCACTCTGTGAAGCAATCCAGTCAGATACCCCTGTAGCTTTTCTGTTTGTAGCTTTTTTGTCTTTTATAACTTCTTATGTTTCAAGACCCAGCTGTAATGTCACCTGCTCTGTGAAACTTCCCCTGATCCTTACTTCTTCCTTCTTTGCATGCAAAATGAAGAACTCCATAGCATTGTGTTCATCGTTCTGTTTGGTTCAGTAAATACTCAATTGAGCCTCTTCAATGGGCCAGACCCTGTATAAGGTGCCAGGGATAATGACAGAGGTAGAACCCAGGCCCATCTTTAGAAAGCCTCACAGCCTGAGATTGGGGTGTGAGGAGTGAGGAACAGACAGGTAAGCAGACAATTACAGTACAGTGTGGCAGAGTGCCTCCATTAAGAGGTGGGCTAAGGTGTCAATAGGAGGAGGGGGATATACATGAAAGCTTTCTGTATGAGTTGGGGCAAAGAAGAGGGGCAGAAGTTTGATATTCCAAAGGAATGGAAAAAGCAAATGCATGCAGATGAGAAGCATTACTGTGTGTATGTTGTGTGTGTGGGTGTGTTGTGTGTTTTGGAACTGGGAGGCACAACAGTTAGACTGAGATTAGCTGCTTCAAATTTGAGATGGAGCCCATTGGTAGCTGAAGCTATCTAGGTAGGCAGCCTCTAAGTCTGGAACTTAGACTTTCTTTTTTCCACCATATAGATAAAGTTCATACTTTTCTTAGAATTACTTTCTAGACAATATAACCTGAGGGTTATGTGCCCTTCCTAGCCTATTTGTCATAAATCCACACCTTTTCACCTAATATTCTTCATAGGGAACTGGAATTTCCAGGGTTTGGTATGTCCAGGTCTATATGCCCTCCATGAGCCTGATTCATCCTTTATAAATTTATAGCAAATATCTTTTCCCAGATTTGTCTAATCTTTCGACTTTGTCTTTGATACTTTTATCATGTATAAATTTATTTCATGTAAATGGTCATATAATCTATCCTTTTCTTCCTGATTGTAATTTGCACTTCTTATTTAAGCACTAGCTCCACCTCAGTGTCAAAATTATTCTCCTGTTCCACCTTGCTATCTGTGTCTCTGTCTCCGTCTCTACTTCTATATCTTCAATATCTATCCATTTCTGGGATCTTTCACCCTGAGTTATTTTTCTAGGTCCCAGGTGAGACACATTTTGGAGCAAAGGGTCACAGCAGGATATAATTAATGAGAAAGTTCAAGACCTCTAAATAGTAGGCTAAGAAGGAATGTAATATCTATTTTACAGGTGAAAAAACAGGTGAAGAAACAAAAAAAAAGGACAAGAGGTCTTTCCCGTGGTCAAAGATCAAGTAAGTACTGTGCAGATCAGAACCAAGGTGCCCATATTCTGTAAGCTACTGGAGTTTTTTCCAACAGACATCATCTGTAACATTTCCCAGCCCGCTGTTAATTAATTAATTAACTCACCTATCTAGCAATTAGGTGTGGTTGGTCACAAGAGAGATTTCCTGAAAGACAGATTGACTGGATGATTATCATTCCCCATCCTTCCATCCATTCATCTTCCCAGCACATTTTTTAGTGAGTTCTAGGCTCTATACTGAGCTCTGGGATTACAAAGAAGAAGATGTGTCTTAGGCCCCACAGCGGTGGGAAGTTGGTAAGGGGACAGTTATAATAAAATAAGTACTATACCAGGAGAAGGATGGGGTATTGTGGAAACTCATAGGAATGGCCTCCAACCCTTTTCATGGTGGTTAGGGACCAGGACATTCACAGTGCCCTGTGTTGAACCAAAGGAAATATCAAAATCACTCATTCATCCCACAAAAAATTATGGAATCTATTATGTGCCAAGTGTTAGATGCTGGGAATAAAGAGATGAACACCATCGATGCTGTCCTTCCTCTACAGGAGCTCCAAGTCTAACGAGATCAGAAATATGTATAAAAACCCTTGGGCCCTGGGAGTACCATTGTATCCTTCATTTGGCTCCTACATGTTTATTGGGTATTTCTTATGAGCATTCCAAGGGTGGAAGAGAGACAGTGAATTGGACATGGTTTCAGACTTGGAGGTTCAGAGACTATTGAGGTGCTAACTATTGTTAGTAATCTTATGAGGGTACAAAGGGGTCCAGCCATGAAAGAGATACAGAAGAAACACTGCAGGGTTTAGCCAAAGCAGCAGTTACTTCCCTGTGGAAGGTTCAGTGAAACCTTTGTAGAAGGGGTGTCATCTGGACTGAGTCTAGAAAGCAGCTCTTTTTCCCCCACTTTATTACCTCATTTAATTCTTACAACAATTCTGAGGCACAGGTTTTTATCCTCATTTTATATGTGAGAAATCTGAGGCACAAAGAGGTAAAGTGATTTGCCCAATGTCACTCAGCTTAGTGGTAGAAACTGGTCTCAAATTTAAGTCTCCTGCCTCCAAAATTGTTGCCTCTCCTACTGCACCCCTCTACTTTTCATATTTGTCACTTCCAGGAAACATTTTCTTTGGATACTTGAACCCAGCTGTCCACTCTGCTCCTTCCTTTTACTGAATCTCTTCCCAGACCCTCCAGCTCAGGATCCCACATTCTTGCCAGGGCCTCCCTTTACCTGGCCAGGGGCTTCCAGGTTCCCAAACCCCTGCTACCCCAAGTTGTCTGAAGCTGTCTCAAAGCAGATTTAGGACTGGCTGGATCCCTTTAAAGAAAAATCTTAAATCTCTTAAGAGTTTTAAGTTTTAAAAAATTTAGATCTTTGATTAGAGATTTTTTTCCTAGAAAGTAGCATTTGAGCTGACTCTTAAACATGAGACCAGCCAGATGAGCAATATGGAAAGGGCTATTTTAGGCCAAACTAAGAACAAAGACACGGAGGACTGAATGCGTTTGGGGGAATAGGAAATGATTCTGTGAGCCTCTTGGGCTGGGGTGACTGGAGCTGGTAAGGTTAGGACATAGGGCCCCAGGGGCCTTCAAGACCAGGCTTAAACTTGCTCAGTGAAAATCTGGTCAGAAGACTGTTGCAGTGTTCTAGGTGGAAGATGATGAAAGATATAATGAAATCAGTGAGAGATAGAGAAATATACATTGGAACTGTACTTCTGAGCTGGAATTGTCATGACTCAGTAAACCCCATTTCACCTGGCTTTATTTTTCTCAGACCTCTCTTTCTAAAGCTTAGCTTGGATCATGGCTCTCAGTTACCTTCAAAGTGAAGCCTGAGTTCTTAGCCTGGCACTGAAGGCCTTCAGTTGTGGGTACCATCCTTCCCATCCAGTCTTATTGTCCAAGACTCCCAAATATACATCCTTCCCCTTCCTGGGTCAAATTGTTTCTTTACTGCGCCAGACATGCCCACCACCATGCCCTCAGGCCTGTGGCCCTTTCTGTTTGGAATGCTTATCCTTCTCTCCATCAGCAAACTCAATTCATCTCTCAAATCCTACTTACCTAGTTCATACCTCATTATTTGCATTTATTTAAATATGTTTATTAATTATTAATTTATTTAAATATAAACCCTCTCTCTCCTGAATGCAAAATAAAGAACATTTCTAGTGAGCACTTAATATGTAGTAGGGACCAGCTTTCTAGCTTGATCCTCTCATTTGTCTATTAAGGTAGATGTTATTACCCCCATTTTGCACGTGAGAAACTGAAGCTCAGAGGGATAGAGTAATTTTCCCAGTCATAGAACAAGACAGAGCCAAAATTCAAATCAGGTCTGTCTGATCCCAAAGGTGATGTTCTTTTTAGTGTTTCACTGAGTTAGGATTGATTTGAACCCCAAAACCCAGGGTCTTGTCTCTCTCTTTATTTAAAAGTCCAGCACATTTCTGAAGCAGGGTGGTGGACTTCCAGGGTCTTGGAGATAGGGTGTGTATTGGGGGTGGTCTTGGTGGGCTCACAGGCTGTGTTGGGGTGAGGGAGCAGCACTGCACCTTCTTACTTCTTAATTGCTTGCTTTCCTTGCTTGGCTCTCAGGGCCATGGCCTCTTCAGGAGTCTACAAACTGGATGATGGGAAGCCTTACCTAAGCAACTGCTTTCCAGCCAAAAATCTGCTTCGGATGCCAGAGGAAGGTCAGGTGACTTCTCAAATCGGTACCTTTGCCTCACACCCAGTTTCTGCTTCAGAATGTCTCTGACACCCATTTCTTCCTCTTCGTCCCCTTCACTACTGTTCCCTGCCCCACCCAGTCCCTTCCCTTCCAAACCATCTCCCCACCAGCGGCCTGAGGGAGCCTTCTAAAGTGCACATCTAACCATGGTGTTCCCATGTATTCAGTGACTTCTCATTGCTGGTTCCATTACCTGCTGCTCTAATCCCC